CTACTCGTACGAGAAACTTATCTCCAACTTGATCTATTTTTTATTTTATTCTACCTTACGCAACAAGGAATTCACAATTATCTATCGTTATTATCTGTAATTATGTATATCATTATTTGTAGTGATTTTTTTTAGTGGTTTCATCGGAACATTTACGTATTCAGTAATACGTCCATATGTTTGCGATACGTTATATGATTTTATTTAGATATACTTGCATTTGTGGCTTTGATAAGAAATTATTAATTTATTCATAACAATATATATATATATGAAATTTGCGAATAAATAAAACATGACTCGATTTACGAATTTGCAATATCAAACATTAAATAATTGCAATAAAAGAGTTAACAATGCAGATCCGTTATATGAAACATGCATCTATTGATACAGTCGAGTAGCATTCATCAATATTAATTGTATTGTCTGTTCGGAGTACTTTTCATCAAACTATTCCCAAAAAAAAAAAAACAAACTCAGAGTGTCAACATTTTCATATATTTTTTTAAGATAATTTTTTTCTAACGTAACTGGATAGGGGTAACTTTATACATTTGATTTTAAAATATATTTACAAAGGTATAGAAGAAGAAAAAAAAAAACAAAAAAAAAAACAAAAAAAGAAATAGGACAGCCGAATAGAAATAATTTGTATAAAAAGGGAATATTTGAAATGATACGCGTCACTAAGCTGCTTTCGAACAAGGGTTGAAAGTTTGCGAGAGAGGAGGATAGGACGGAACACGGCTTAATAACATAGCCAGCGCAATATCACGTCGTGCACGTTTAAAGGTTTAAGGATGCGCCCGGGGATACGTTTGAATCCATGTCGACGATGCTTGTTGGATCCTAAGCGGAGCGGATGAATTGTGGCTTCCTCGTTATCCGATATGTTAGTTTGTAAGAATCGCTTTTACAACCGTAACGATAGATACGCATCTTCTACCTATAGATACAACTCATCCTTTCCCATCGATAGTGCTAACAATAAGACTTTTGAGTTAGGATGTATCATTATTGTGATATTTTCTTCTTTCCCTTCGTACTTCTTTCTATCGATTTATATTATTTTCTTAACGTTACAATATCGATTGTAAGTACACTCTTGAGAAGCTACTCTTAGTTTTATTTGACTGAGTATTCTCTAATGTTTTTTTATAACTGATATTATATAATAAATATTTAAAATGTCAACTCTGTACAATAATTTTAATTAATATATTTTTAAAAAGTGTATTATATTTTTTTGTAAAATGATTTTAGTAACATGTTTATTAGATAGAAATCAAATCAAAATTTGACTAGACTTTTATAGAAAAATAAAAATCAGTATTATGAGTAGAGTGCACGAGAACAATGTAAATAACAAGTATTAGTATATGAAATAACACGAAATATAAATATCGTTACAAACGTTGGATCCTCGGGTTCACCAAACTGGTATTCGAATATTGTTTTGGAGAGTAAAATATTTTCTATTGAAAAGTTTCAATATTTCCAAACCATTTGTTAACTTTTTAGCTTTAAAAAAATTGTTTTCTTTTTTTTTTTTTTTTTAGATGGTGGTAGATGGATTATATAAAAATGGGCAATTTAAATTAAAAACAAAAAAAGTAGTCGAAATCATAGAAACAATTTTTGAACTCCCTTTAATTATAATATATAAACTTAAAGCTAAAATAAACAAATTCTTTACGCAATTTACAAAGTTGAAATAAATATTTAAATATCCAGGTATATTCTACATATTTTAAGGCTTTGAGAAAGCAACTTTCTTGTAAATATTTATTTAAATTATAAATGGATGTGCTTGTTACTCATTTACATAGATTATGTATAACTATTTAATAGATGAATATAGATATTCATGTTAATGTTCGTTAATATTGGTAAACAGATGAGGTTCGCGGAGATTGATCGACGATTAGGTGGCTTCAAGACCGTGTTACATATCATCTACTTGAGAAAGCCGACGCGACGTATACATATACACCGGTATACTCATGTCTATGATATTATCAACCCCTGAATATCCGAGTCTGTAGTCGAATTCGATCGAATGCCCGATAATAAGGGGGATATATGACTAGAAATTCAAATCGTTCGGTATCGTTCCATCACAATGATATTCCACAATGGAATATTTTAAGAAAGGGTGTCATCGAGATTCAGATAATAAAATTCAAAATATACGCATGATAATATAACAGATAGATATTCATATAATATAAATAAAAAATGATACGAGTAGCAGCATGTTTCATAGGAAACTCTCGTATACTTTAAGAAATGCTCGTGACCGTATTGTTATCGAATATTTTCAGAAATTTTATCTTCGATATTAAAAAAGATAAGAATAAAAATACACCGATAAGTAATAATATGCGCTGATGTTTTTTTTTTATGTTGAGAAAAAATAATTTTAGCACAAAGTAGCAGAAAAATTTATATAAAACTCGTGTCTTTCAAGGGAACTCCTGTCGCCTTCTAGCGCTGTTAATTACAGTTGCATTATAATGAAAAATTTTTATAACATGGCTATGTGATTTTTTCGTAGTTGTATCTCGGTATAAAGCACAACGCGATATGAAACCCAATAACGTTGTGCGAGTTTGCATTATAACGAAAATGCACGTGAGAGCTATTTCAAAGAGCCGTTATCTGTTCTCTTTAACCATAAAAATCTGCTGCTCGACAAAAATAAAACGTTTACAAGGGCTCAGCTTGTTAGTTCGTTCGTTTATTCATTCATTCATTGATTCACACATTCATTCATTAGTTCGTTCGCCTTATATCTGGTGAACTATGATTGAAGAATGAGTTACACTGAGACAGCAAGATTTTTAACGTGAATTTTGAAAACTAGTTCAGAAGGATATGCGTTACACTCTTAGACCTACTATGACCGACTATATCTGTCTTCAGTATTTTTTATTTCCTCTTCAAATAATATTTTTTTTTTAATAATGTAGATAAATCTTACTCGCTGTTAAATTATGAATATTGTTAAGTATCATTCAAAGGCACACATGTTTCTAAACATCTATAAGTACACCTAGTACGAATTCTAGTCATGTTTTTGGAAAATACTTCAATATCAATTTGTATGCTCAGATTGTAATGTAGTTCTCATTCAGAAAGTATTATTTGTGAATGCTTTCGTTATTAATAATACCTTATTACTACAGTATAATACTACAGTTATAAACTAGAGATAGAATTAATATAATCGTATTTAAGTATAACTCACTTAATGAATTTTAAGCATTGTTGTAATTCTTTATCATTAATATTTATAATATTTAACACGTTGATTGCCGCGCGCTTTTCACATGATTTGCTTGCCACGCTTATATGAATATTTTATTATAGTATGTATATTTTGTTGCAATTTTTTTTTGTTACTCTTTATTCGCAAGTCTAATTTTTCTCGCCATTGTAGATGAAAATAAAAATTACAGACAAAAAGTTAATTACTGTGATATCGGTAATAAAATATTTCAAAAAAAAAAAAAAATATTTCGACTGTGTTTGAAAAACAAGTGATCGTTCAGTCTCAGTATCCTTAAGACCGTTCTTAATGAGTTTATTCGAGTCAAATAAAAAGTAGATATGTTTTAGGAAAGTTAGGGATACTTTGTAAGATACGAGCGGTATTGAAACGTATTGCTACTATTGCCAGACAAATAAAAGTTGGTAATGTTCAAATAGGAAGATGTTTTCCGAGTAAGAAGGGGGAACTGAACATTTTTCTACGTGCTTTAGCACGGAAAACGGTAGTACTTTCGGTTCGGTTCGATTCTGATCCTGCTTTTATGGTTCTTCCAATAAAGAAGATATTTACGAGGCTCGAATCGTCCGTCGACAAAACTAACGTGTAAAGGATAGAGCATAAGACGATTTGCGGTTTAGCAAAATCCCTGGTTTTCCGTATGATTCTCATTTCTCTCTCTGTCTCTCTCTCTCTCTTTCTTTCTCTTTATCTCTTTCTCTGAATAGTACTACCTAGCGCGAATCCATTACGTCGATGGATGTACATTGTACAAACAATCGTGAACGTACAAACGTATCCAAAAACAACGAATAAGAATGATTCTTATTTCTTCCAAAGCAAATCTTTGCTTTTCTGTGGTAGATACCCGTATATTTCTTGCTTGTATCATACGATATTAATACAACCATCGATGATTACCATTTTATTCTTTTTCACTCTAAAATACGATAAAAATGTATTCATTTTTCTTAGTTTCTTTATTATCGTCGAACAACGAGTAGAAGGAAATAATTTACTTCCATTGTAACCACCGACATTTTAACTTGCTGGTTTTCTCTTTCGCTTTTCCTTTTCCCTCTTTTATCGTCCTTTTCCGCCCGAGAAAAGACTATTTATTTACAAAATCTAGATATTACGTAGCCTTGCAAACCATAATAGAGGGCATTATTTATCTCCTTTTGTGAGATTTTCCGCGAAAACTTAGAAGAGAAGTAACGACAATAATTATATCAAGATAATACTCTTAAAGAAATTATATTTTTTCTTATTGTTCTATATATATTTTTTATTTTTTATTATTTTTCCAAGCAGACCCGTTATCACCCGTTCTTTTCATTTTTTTTTCATTCCACAGATGATCATTTTTATGTGTTATATAAGTACAGGTGATGATTGCAGTTAATTCATTTGTAAAACAATAAAATTTATATTGTAAAAGTGAAAAATAAACAATTATAAATCGACTGTACTTTTTTTTAGCTGTTAACTGAAATTAACCATGTACTACTATTACTAAAAATGATTTATCAGGTCTCATTAAGATTTGAGATCATCTTTTTCTTTCTTTTTTTACGTCATTCATTATTTCATAATTAACCTTTTTTAAGACTTGATGAATCATTTGTAATTATCCAGCATTTAAAATTGTTTGAATATATTGTAGTTGAGGAAAGAAATGAAAAATGAAAAGGTTTAATCAATTCTACGTACTCGTGTGGCTTACCTGTATAAAGGATCGCCGTTATCCTTCCTGAACCATAGGACCATAGTGACGGCATCGTTCGGTTCCCGTGGTTGTGTGTTACAAGGTAAAATCGCTCTTTGACCGGCCACCCCTTGTATCGACACCATGGGTACTGAAACACGATCGATGAAAACTGTGAGCTTCTTTCGGCGCGCGCAAAAACTATCTCTACGTTCCTAAAGAATAGAATAGAATAGAATTTCTTCAAAGATTTTTCAAGGAAAGTATTCTTCCTCGCTTGCGTTTACTTTTAATCATTTAAAGAACATTCTATTGTTGAAATAAAACTCTCAGCTTTTTCTTAACTTCCTAAAGAAAAAGTCATTTTTATACGTTACGTTTCTGATTTATTCTTCTAGCGATATTAAATGTTTAAAGCATCTTTAAAATTTTCAAGAACGGTACTGTTGACACACTTACAGTGTATTTTAATAATTAAAAAAAAATATTTACTATATCGTAAAACCATTGTCGCGTTAAACTGATGATAATTAATATTTTTTTTCAGGTAAAATAGAACAACGTTTTTTCTTATATTTTTGAAATATCTTTCTTATACGTATAAATTTGAAATAAATTTCTATTTAAATTAAAAACTATCATAAAAAAAAAATGTATTAATATTAAAATAAAACATGTAAATTTGATGATTAAAATTTTCAAGCCTTAAGATGAAACGTTAGATTCGTGACATAAATTATGTGACATTCGGATCGGACGAATGATCTCTTTGATTATCACGCGATGAAATTATAAGAGAGAAAGAAAGCGCTTACGAAAATGGGATAAGACTTTTTTGAAAAATTCTATTCGTTGAGTATCGGCCCACAAGGGCGTAAAAGAAATGCGAGCTTGAATAAAGCCAAGTTCCTGTATAAAGCAAATGGGTCGACGTTCGAAGCGAAGTGGATCCTTAAGCACGGTTCGCGACACTTACCATTCGGTCGCATGGTCGTGAGTTCGTCGACGAGCACTTCCGGCAATAATGCAGATTTTTATCGGGTAACTCAGTCTCGTATTCGTTTTTCCAACGGCTCATGAATAATCCTACCGCATTCGACTTTCGCGTTCGACCGAATCGTTCTCCAACGCGGTCAATATTATTTTCATTTTTATATTTTTATTTTTTCTTTGAGAATATGGGTAACGAAAAATCTATCAAAAAAGATATTCAATTTCTTTCGTTTGATATCAATATTATTATTATTATCATACGGGAGTATATATATTTTTTAATTTAATTTTAACATAACACGCGTCGATTAGATTTATAAATAAATGCAATTTTATTTATATTTCCTTCGTTATGCATATTCGTCAAACTGTCCGATAATTTTATTAATTTTTATCTTTTTTATTATCTATAGGATACAAGGTGATATTTTTATTTTTTCAAAATATTTAAATTTTTTTATCCCGAATGATAAAAGTAGTAGACGTGTCTCCTCGTGATAGCTTTTTCGCATTAGATATAACCAACGTAGTGAGCTTGCAACAGATGCCTCTCAATTTCTCCTATGTCAATCTGGTCAGACAGGTAACTTCGCTTTTCCAATTTAATTGCTATAGATTTTCTAACTTTTTGTTTAGGGAACAATTACTCCGTTTCTTCACATTTGTTCCGCGCGACGTATCGACAAACTTCGTATTTGAAATATGAACATTTTTCATTCGAGTATAAAAGCAGAAATTTTCATTCGTTCGATATTTTTTATTGTTCTAATAAAACGTTTTGGAGAAAAATATGTATGTTACAGCGTCGTATTATTTTTTCATGAATTTGTCAATTTTCGAAGTGCCCATATTGAATTTCGAGAAAGGAAATCAAAACGAATGAAAATTTTTCGCGAATTCGCGTTCCGTGTAATCTGATTTTTGTTACAAATTTTAAGTCAATTTGTTTAGCGATTTTGATACCGGAGTAACACGTATAACGTGTGGACTTTGATACGAAACGAAAATAACTAAAAATATTTTTTACTGTTCATTTTTTGAATTCAACATACAACTTTTAAAACTCGTACTACTATATTAAGACAATTATAATTGTTAAAGTTATTACTTTGAATTAAACAAAAGCATGGTAAAACTTCTTCTTTTCAAATTTTATTCTTTTAAGACTTTTCACAAGTTACGTATACTAATAATTCTGTTTACAATAAATAAAAAGTAAAACAAATAATAAGTTCCGTTGAAAGAACTAGTTCCCGTTGGATTATTAAAGTTAAACAGCTATGGGCACGGTTGGTACTTGAATGGGTTCATCGTTTCGAAACACCGTGTGCTGTTGACTCTCGGGATGTGTGTCAGGGCTGTGGAAAGAGGTCAACAAGGTCTCTCAAGCTGGTAAAAGGGAGAGTAATATAAGGACACATAACAAATAATAATTTACCTTATATCTAGATCAATAATCATTTTCCTAGGGTAAATTTAAAAAGGTAGCTAGACGTTTACATATTAAACAAATACATATTAAGACACGCACAGACAGATTCAAAGGGGTTATTTGGATCTAGTTTCATAATCATCAATAAAAACTAATCAGACATGTTCGCACTATAATCGAAATCACATGGTCTTGAAGCTTGAAATTGGATCAGTAACGAAACGAAGTCGTTATTGGGCTAATCGAGTCCTTTCTCGTTAGTCCAATTATTCTTAAGGTGGCTAGGCTGAAGTGGTGCAATGACAGCCGTGATAAATGTACGTGACTTGATATCGATTACACGGTAGGTAAGCTACCTTGGTAAAGTACTCGAAAGGAGTGGTTTTACGTTAGAAGATTCTGCTTGAAAGCACAGGGCATCGTTATTTGTTCTCGTTAACGACAGAAACGCGACTTTCGATCTAATCTTATAGAGAAGGGAGAACATCAAACTGTTCGTTTCGATTGGAGGCACGCTTTTAACTCCCATGGGATCCAATCTTGTTCGTTCAAGGACCTTGGCTAAATGTTATTTCTCGACTAGAAGAGATCGCGGGATTACTTACGGATTCTCCAACTCGTAAGACATCGGTTAACGTCATTACGGACATAGAATCGAATCACGTTCTGATTTACTGTTCGACTCTTTCAATACCTTTGGAAATGCCTTAAAAAAGAAAATTGATCTGGTAGGTAAGGAACTTAACTCGGTTGGTCAAGAGAAGAAAAAAAAACAATGGGAAATTTGTCAGTACCTATGTGACGTTTCAAGAGAATCAAAGATCCCTCGATGCTTGTTTATCTTCGATTCTGCTTTTTTTATTTTTAAGAAATAAAATTATAATGTATTATAAAATTATTAATATCTTTGGAATATATATTTTTTGGAAATATTTTAATTAAAATTTTATATTGATCATCGCCGAGAGAGTATTACAATAATAAATTATTCCTTTCGCGTATTTTCTCGTTTGTTATTTATTAAAAAGAAAAAAGTAAATAATCAAATAAAAAATCTGTGCATCCCTCCGATCCTTATGACACAATAACCAGTAGCGTAAAATTGATTTTGATGCTTCGAAGGATAAAAAGCCTTTGTACCTTCTCTTAATTAGGTTTCGCGTAAAATAATAATTAATTTACAGATAGCATTGTCGAGTCGTTAGAAACGTAATCTGTTTCTGACGTGTTTCATAGCAACGAGCATAATTAGCAGAGCTCGACCCGGACATAACCAAATGAATTCGCGAACGGTTGTATGATGGTGACGGTCCTTCTTGAAAATCTTTCCCTCGCTTAGATGGTATTTCTTATTTCGTAATTACTCTTTTTCCCTATCTCTTTCCTTCACTATTTTTTTTCTTCTTTTCTGTTTTTTTTTTTTTTTTTCTATCTTCTTCTTTCTCTTTTACTAAACCAAAGTAAAATAGAATGCAAACTATTGAAATATCTTTTACGTTCTTTATATTTGGTCGGTGAAACGAAAAGGTGACTGGACTGAAAAGGAAAATGGGTTATACGGATTTCGCTTAAGATGGCTGGCATAGATTACGACTTTTTATTCAGTGGGAAAAAGAAAACGAAAAGTGCACGAAAGGATGAGGAAGAAAGAGAGAGAGAGAGAGAGAAATCAGAGTGCAGAGTAGTTAATAGGATTCAACGAACGAGATTCAAGAAAATTCAACGAAAAATTACAATCCCTCTATGTTCACGATTGTTGACATTTTTTACATTATTTCTTAGCGCTAATACTTTAATAAATGATATATGATATAAACGCTAATTGCAACCTTGATGCAATGATTGCTAAGGTTCGAACATTTTTAATACTTTTCGATAGCATCTAAATTAATTTAGAATCGCTAACTACGAAACTTGGATTGTATTTATGCACACGAGTATCTAATTGTTAATAGAAATTATTTTTCAATTGAGTTCTCGGCAGATCGTAAAAATTGTTGATTATGAAATTAGGATTTGTTTTTTTGTTCGAACTTCAAACAAAAAAAAATGTGATCCTAATATTTGTCCTGTTTTTTGTTTTCGAAAGGAAAATTAATGAATCCAGTTAGTCGATATAACGAATCGTCTAAAATGAGTTTAGTTAAAAAAAAAAAAATGATGTAAAAGGATTTATAAGCTGGTTGTATTGTTGGTCTGGTTATAAATTGGCTAACTGGAAGGACAGATCCTCGATCATTTATCCGCGTGGGAAGCACGTCGAGTGTTTCCAATTATTTTAAACGACAAAAGAGACGTCAACCATCCCTTAATGGAATAATAATGCCACGACCACGGTTACGCTTAAGGACTACGCTTGCAGATGCAGCTATTACGTTCATGGTAACCGTTTTCATATATGGTAGAAGCTGACCTCAATAGAAACTGACCTTTATAAAAGATCTTTTATATTTACTATACATCCATTTTATGAGTCGCTCGGAAGTCCGGAAAACAACAATTGACAAAATGAATATTTTATAACACATTGGTTTCTTATAGTTTGATCAAAAAATTATATAAAGTTGTTATTTTTTTTTTCTTTCAAAGGGTACGTTCTGCATCAAAAAATAAGTTATCTGCAGGACGTGCGAATAATTACGTGAATATTTATAGGGACAATGACAGCATTTTGAAAACATTATAAATTTGATCTTTTTTTTTTTGTAATTAAAAAAGATAATGTA